CATGGTTTCTCTTCTTGTAGCATTAAAACCACAAGTGATATCCTTTTGTGTAAATATTTAACAGTTTCTCCTTTAATCTAGTAATTTCTGTCTGCTGTAATCCATCAAAACCTCTTCCTCCTGCCACCTGTTTTGATTACTTTGAAAGCTATGATTTTAAGACCTTGTCCTAGTCTAACCATGTTCAGGTTTTACTTAAATTATGGGAAACACAGTTTGATTCACATTAAAAACTAACATTAAAAAAATAATGTTTGTGGGGGGTTTTTAAATTAGTTTTTATTATTTTAAATGTTTTTATTGATCTTTAGAGAGAGAGAAAGGGATAGGGAGAGAGAGGTAGAAACATCAATATGAGAGGAACATTGATCAGCTGCCTCCTGCAGGCCCCATACTGGGGATGAGGCCCGCAACCCCGGTATGTACCCTGACCGGGAATTGATCCAGCAGCCTTGACAGTGTTCAAACAACTGAGCCACACCAGCTGGGCTTTTTGTGGTTTTATATGATTCAGTAACCTCTTAAATATAAATGGAGTTTATTTGCTATTCTAGTATATAGATTGACTTCTATATGCCTTTTTTTAAATTTTTTAAAAATATATTCCATTGATTTTCTACAGAGAGGAAGGAAGAGGGATAGAGAGTCCGAAACATCAATGAGAGAGAAACATAGATCAGCTGCCTACCACACTCCCCACCCCCAGGGATGTGCCCGCAACCAAGGCACATGCCCCCAACCGGAATCAAACCTGGGACCCTTCAGTCCTCAGGCCGATGCTCTATCCACTGAGCCAAACCAGTCAGGGCTGCCTTTTCTTTTCAAACTCAGAAATTTCAAATTGAGTATATACAGTTAAAAAGTCATTCCCATTGGGAGTAGTATTTTAGCAGGGGCTTGAAAGGAAGGGAAAAACCTGCCATTATTGGAAACTGCAGGAAGGCAGATCCTTGATATGTAGTGGCAGAAAGCTTAAAGCTTGGCTACACTATGAAAGGTGCCTAGTGATCTGCATGACCTAACTAAGGAGGTTTCCAAGCAAAGTGTTGAAGGTGCCATGTAGTTTCTTCTTGCTTCTAGTAAATGCAAAACTAGAGAGAGTAATCAAGAGGAAAAGACTGTTAAACAAAAAGAAACTAGGACCTGATGGTTTGAAAATTCTTCGCCTCTGGAGAGGCAAAAGATGCTAAAATTAAGAATAGCTTTTGAAGGAAGTTCAGATTCATTATGAGTTTTCTTAGTATCAGGTACCTCTCTTTCTTATCTAGTTGCAAAATTATGTTTATATGTTGATTGTTATTTGATGTTCACATTGAATTGAACCCAGGATTGTACCTTTTATTTCTGCCTCAATCCTGGATTGTAAGCTATTTCAGAAAGTCAAGGAACCCTATTAAGGAAGCCTCAGTCTATCCTGCTATATGCTATAGAGTAGGTGTTCCTTCAACAGAAAGTAAATGTCCTATGTGTGTGAAATTAACACCTCACTTGACAAATGAGGAAATCTGAAATAACTAGGTAGTAGTACAGCAGGAAAGAACCCAGATTTCTTTTAAAATATTTCTATTGATTTCAGAGAGGAAGGGAGAGGGAAAGAGAGAGAGAAACATCAGTGATGAGAGAGAATCACTGATTGGCTGTCTTCTGGACACCCTCTTCTAGGGATCGAGCCCGCAACCCGGGCATGTACCCTGACCAGGAATCTAACCGATCAATCACTGAGCCTGCCAGCCGGGCAAACCCAGCATTCTTAATGTCCAACCCAAGGAATATTCTTTTTATTAGAGTAGTCTGCTTGATATAAACCTGAGTGATCATCATTATTATCTGAGGTGCTTTAAAAAGTATTCTTGTAGCTCTCAGAATTTTTGAAGATGATAAGTTATGTTAGGAAGCCACTGAACCTTGGCCACATTGCCATTCATTTATTTTTTAATTGTATGAGTAAATCATGTTTAATAGAATTTTCCATTTGGGATTATATTGCTAATTGTATTTAATACCTTCATGTTTATTCATAACGAAGAGAAAGAGGGGAGGGGAGACAGAAGGGCGACAAAGGGGAAAGAAGGGAGGGTGTATGTGTGTGTGGTGTGTGTTTAATTTTCCAAGGGATGGTGGACGCCACCTTTTATATTGACCATGGGAGAAATGACTACTTTTAATAACTAGGTTGCAGTTTTGGTTATGTCTGATGAGAAGATGTTAAAGTGACGTCATGTGGCTCACATCAACAAAAGTTTTATGAAATGATTTAAAACAGCAAAGGCCAGAAGAAATATTGGGTTTGTTTTGTAAAGAACCTTGCACACTACAGAGAGCAAACTGTTGATGAGATTGGAATGGTCAATGGCACCTGCTCTTGTGCTACAGGAAAGGTACTAAAGATGTGTCATACTGCTGGGTGTAGAGTTGAGAACTGGGGTAGTGGTATTTGAGAGTGAAATTCATCAATTCATCATCTCTGTTGTAGCCAGTTCTTCTCTAGATATTGAATACAATCTGTAGTATATATAGAAAATTCCACTATTAAATGAATTGAGGATTATTATTACAACAGGCAGTGCATTTATTTAAAAAACTCCTAAAACATAGGAATTTATTGCTTCTGTTATATTTGTGTTTCCCTTATATCACAATATTGCTTCAGTAATTTAAAATGAATCAGAACTTTCCTATACATTTTACAATAAAATTATTTTTAGAAATCGCCTAATTTAAATAATTTTATTCTTATGAATTATGCTTTTTAAAAATATATTTTTATATTTGGTTAACATGGCTTCTTATTATAAGATTTAAAAAAATATATTTTATTGATTTTTTACAGAGAGGAAGGGAGAGGGATAGAGTTAGAAACATCGATCAGTTGCCTCCTGCACGCCCCCTACTGGGGATGTGCCCACAACCAAGGTACATGCCCTTGATCAGAATCGAACCCGGGACCCTTCAGTCCGCAGGCCGATGCTCTATCCAAGGGTGGGCAAACTTTTTGACTCGAGGGCCACAATGGGTTCTTAAATTGGACCGGAGGGCCGGAACAAAAGCATGGATGGAGTGTTTGTGTGAACTAATATAAATTCAAAGTAAACATCATTACATAAAAGGGTACGGTCTTTTTTTTTTTTTTAGTTTTATTCATTTCAAACGGGCTGGATCCGGCCCACGGGCCGTAGTTTGCCCACGGCTGCGTCTATCCACTGAGCCAAACTGGTTAGGGCAAGATTTTATAATGTTAATTAATTTCTTCCTCATGTCCATTTTACTTTTTAAATCTCTTACAGTGCCTATACCAACCAATCTTACAATTGAGGCCTATAACTTCGATACTGTCCTATTTTGGAATTACCCAATCATGGCGCAGAAGCCTGTTTTTACCGTACAGGTAAAAGTCTATGGGTGAGTGTTACTCTTTTATCCTTTTTACTCTGTTTTGTCCATGTCCTTGCATAGTTCATAACTGTGTTCTCTTCCATTATCCTTCCTTCTGTTGTGGCAAAACTTCCTGAACTGCTTGTAGATTCCAGAGAGCTAACGATGCAAATTAGTTCTTATCAGAAAACTTCCTACCTCTTAGTCCTTCTGTCAGAATTGAAGTAGACAAGTATCACTAACTTCCCAGATTTCTTTTTACCTTTTCAAAAATTTTTTACTTATTTATGTTGTTATTTTTCTTAAGTATATTTTTATTAATTTCAGAGAGGAAGGAAGAGGGAAAGAGATAGAAACATCAAAGATGAGAGAGACTCATTGATCGTCTGCCTCCTGCATGCCCCCAGTGGGGGGTTGAACCCACAACCCGGCATGCGCCCTGACTAGGAATCAAACCATGATCTCCTGGTTCATAGGTTGACACCCAACCACTGAGCCACACCAGCTGGGGTTAATTTATTTTTTAAATCCTCACCTGACGACATGCTTAGAAAGAGGAAGGGGCAGGGAAGAAACATCAATGTGAGAGAGAAACATTGATCAGATGCCTTCTGCATGTGCCCTGACTGGGGATCGAACCCAGGTTATGTGCCCTGATCTCAAATCGAACAGGCAACCTTTTGGTGTATAGGCCAGTGATGGCGAACCTTTTGAGCTCGGTGTGTCAGCATTTTGAAAAACCCTAACTTAACTCTGGTGCCATGTCACATATAGAAATTTTTTGATATTTGCAACTATAGTAAAACAAAAGATTTATATTTTTGATATTTATTTTATATAATTAAATGCCATTTAACAAAGAAAAATCAACCAAAAAAAGTGACACGCGTGTCATAGGTTCGCCGTCACTAGTATAGGACAAAACTCAGCCAACTGAGCCAGTCCAGCCAGGCTGACTTCCCAGATTTTAAGGCACGATAAATAAATAAAGCTTTCAGTTCTCTATTAAAAATAATGTCATCTTACTTCCTATAGTGTACATGTATTGTTCAGTAAAAGAAAAATTTCAAAAAACTTTTTTACAAGTGTTAGGAGTCTTTGTAATGGGTTGATTCTGTAAGTGAGTAATGATTATGTTAATGGAAACGAGTTGTTTAAAGAGCAGATTTTTTAAAATTGCATGTGGAATATGATTTGTACAGATCTTGTAATTTGAATTGAGCTTCTTTATTGTAAATTATAGTACTTTTGACCAAAGAGCAAGGGCTTCCTTCCTACTTTGTCTAGATTCTTCATCATATTCTTTTTTCTTTTTTTTAAAGAATAGTTTATTGATTTTTTTAGAGAGAGAGGAAGGGAGAAGAGAGAAACATCGATGTGACAGCATAACATCAATTGGCTGCCTCCTGCACACCTCCTATTGGGAATCGAGCCTGCAACCCTGGCATGTGCCCTGACAGGGAATTGAACCAGCAACCTCTTGGTGCACAGAATAATTCCCAACCAACTGAGCCACACCGGCCAGGGCTATCGTATTCTTATTTAGCTCCTTCTACCAGCTCCATGCTGTGAATGAAAAGCAAAGCAAAGCCAGAGATGGTTCAGGTTTATATACTAATAAAAGTTACCTTTGTGTTTCTTTATTCCTCTTCATTTTAGGGAGGATGAATGGCTTGATGCCTGCAATACCTCTCATCATCACTGTAACATCTTTTCCATGATTAAGCTTCCAGACGTTTCTCTCTGGGCCAGAGTTAAAGCGAGGCTTGGACAAGAAGAATCAGCCTATGCAGAGTCAGAAGAATTTATTTTGTGCCAACAGGGTGAGTAGAACGTATACATATCTAAATTTTAAATTTGAGAGTGTTTACACGTGTCTTCTATATATATATTTGCTTTTATTAGCAGTTGCTAAAAACTATTACAATGCCCAAGAAACATTTGGAGCAATTTAGGGAATTCGTGTCTTCCTCTTCTCCCAAGTCCCATAAAATAGGGCTGAGGTGCCCATCACTTTGCCCCTAATAAACTATTATATTTCTTTTTTAATATATTTTATTGATTTTTTTTTTTTTTTTTTTTTTTTTACAGAGAGGGAGGGAGAGGGATAGAGAGTTAGAAACATCCATGAGAGAGAAACATCCATCAGCTGCCTCCTGCGCACCCCCTACTGGGGATGTGCCCGCAACCAAGGTACATGCCCTTGACCGGAATCGAACCTGGGACCCTTCAGTCCGCAGGCTGACGCTCTATTCCAGCCATGGGCAAACTACGGCCCGAGGGCCGGATGTGGCCCGTTTGAAATGAATAAAACTAAAAAAAAAAAAAAAAAGACCGTACCCTTTTATGTAAGGATGTTTACTTTGAAATTTATATAGTTCACACAAACACTCCATCCATGCTTTTGTTCCGGCCCTCCGGTCCAGTTTAAGAACCCATTGTGGCCCTCGAGTCAAAAAGTTTGCCCACCCCTGCTCTATTCACTGAACCAAACCCGGTTAGGGCTAAACTATTATATTTCTATTCTACTTAAAAAGGTGGATTAGTAGCCCTAACCGGTTTGGCTCAGTGGATAGAGCGTCGGCCTGCGGACTGAAGGGTCCCGGGTTCGATTCCGGCCGGGGGCATGTGCCTTGGTTGCGGGCACATCCCCAGTAGGAGGTGTGCAGGAGGCAACTGATCAATGTTTCTTTCTCATCGATGTTTCTAACTCTCTATCCCTCTCCCTTCCTCTCTGTGAAAAATCAATAAAATATATTTTAATAAATAAATATGTGGATTAGTGCTGTCCAACTAGACTCTGCACTGCCCTGCCCCTCCCTGTCTTGGTCATTCCTTTATAAGTTACATTCACTGAGGGCTTTGGCAGCTTCTTTATCTTACTTGCCTACCTTAAGTCCTCAAGGTTGTGGGAATTATAATACCAACTTCATACTTTAAAAAATACCAGAATTCTGTAATCTCTTTAACCCCAATGATTTTCAGCTCTTCATGCTTCCAGCATTGTGTTGCCATAGTTTACCTGATCTTTACTATCACATTAAGCTCCAGAATCTTCAATGCCAGTTCCTTTTCTGACTAATGTCCTCCCTTGTAGCTCTTATACCCTCACTTCTGGTTAAAAGAAATCTTTAGTCACTTGACTGCTCCCTAGGCTTCCAGTCCTTCAGTGCCTTGCCTTCCAGCTTTACTTCCTTCCTGTTCAGCTTCATGCTGCATTACCTCAACCACCACCTCCTTCTGTTCCTACATTCTGGATTGTGCTTACTTGTTCTTCTCCACACCCATTCTCTACCTGCCCTTGAAATAGTTTTATTCCCCAGAGATTATGATGCCTTTGTCATCAACACCTATACCCTCTGTATGTCAGATTTTTCCCAGAAAGACTTATCAAAGGCATACTTTATGCCAGAAAGTATGGTAGGCCCTGAGGATACATGGGTGAGTAAAAACAGACCTGCCTGGCACACAGTAGGTATATAATAAATCTGTGAAAAATAGTTAAATGGTTCACCAACAAAGTCCCCAACATCAAAGACACATCATAAATATTTCTGGAATGAATGAATATCTAGTTCTGATTTTCACAGTAAAAACTGAATATATTCAGCAGACTTTTATAGAGCTTTCATGCCAGATATCCATAGTGTGGAAATATAAAGAGTTACTGCAAAGGTTTAAAGATAACTAGAACACCTTTTCTAAATCATGTTTTTAGAAAACCATTTTTAAAAATACGTTTTTATTGATTTCAGTGAGAGGAAGGGACAGGGAGAGAGAGATAGAAACATCAATGATGAGAGAGAATCATTGATTGGCTGCCTCCTGCACACCTCCCTACTGGGGATTGAGCCTGAAACCTGAGCAATGTGCCCTGACCAGGAATTGAACAGTGACCTCCAGGTTCATGGGTCAACACTCAACCACTGAGCCATACTGGCCAGGTGAAAACAGTTGTGTGTGTTTTGTTTTTTGGTTTTTTTAAATCTACAGAACCAAAGGTAAAGAAAAAATAACTTCTATTATATCAAAGTTTTTTTACCGGGATTCATGACCACCTATTTTTCTTTAGGACTTGAAATGAATTTAAACTGTTAAAGAGGAGTTTAGATTAGATAAGAATACTTCTTGACTGAGAAGATATATTATAAACATTTCTTTATTAAGTACACTTCAAATCTTCTAGATCTTTTTGGAATGGTTTAAATATGGCTCTGCAAAAAAAGTAGGTTGTTTGATTTTGGTAATTTTATACAATCTTATATAATAATAGGGTAATATTCAAATAGACCAAACGGCAGAACAACCAAACAACCAATCAAAGCATAATATGCTAATGATATGCTAAGGCTGCTCAACCACTCGCTATGACATGCATTGACCACCAGGGGGCAGATGCTCCGACTGGTAGGTTAGCTTGCTGTTGGGGTTCAGCTGATTGGGAATGAGTGAGATGGGCCAGACACGCCCTGGAGTCCTCCCATAGTCCCTACCAGGCTCGATTGTGCACTGGTGGGGTCCTTCAGCCTGTCCTGCGACCTCGAAATCCAGAACCCCTCGGAGGATGTAAGCCGGTTTTAGCCCTATCCCACAGGCCACTCCCCTTGGGAGGGTGCCAGATGCAGGACTCATGGCTGGGGAGTGCTGCTGTGGCAGCATGAGCCTCTCCTGATCTGGACTGATTGGGCACAAGCCTGCAGCAGACACAATGGGGCTGGGATGATTGGGAGCAGCAGGTAGGAGGTGCAGGTGGCATTGGACTGTGGGTTTCAGCCTGATCCCTGCAGGCCACCCAGAAGGACCCCACTCTGCACGAATTCGTGCACCGGGCCTCTAGTGTACTATAAAGTTCCAGGGCCAACTAATTCTACTTCTTTTTTGCCTTCCTCCCACCCAGGGAAAGTTGGACCACCAAATCTGCATATTAGTCACAAGGAAGACCAAATCATTATTAATATATTTCATCCTTTAATTACGGTAAATGGAAAAGTGCTAGGAGCCATTTATGGAGACGAAACTTGTTACACATTCATGTACAAGGTGCATGAGAGAATAAATGGAAGTCTGGTATGTGTTTCTATTTCATCTTTTTCAAAATGGAAAATTTTCTGTCACCAACAAGTTTTTTCCTGTGTCATGTAAGAAAGTAGAACGCTTGCCCTAGCCAGTTTGGCTCAGAGGTTAGAGCAGTGATGGCAAACCTATGACATGCATGTTAGAGGTGACACGTGAACTCATTTTTTTGGTTGATTTTTCTTTGTTAAATGGCATTTAAATATATAAAGTAAATATCAAAAATATAAGTCTTTGTTTTACTATGGTTGCAAATATCAAAAAATTTCTATATGTGACACGGCACCAGAGTTAAGTTAGGGTTTTTCAAAATGTTGACACGCCGAGTTCCAAAGGTTCACCATCACTGGGTTAGAGCATCAGCCCATGGACTAAATGGTCTCGGGCTTGATTCTGGTCAAGGGCATGTATCTGGGTTGCAGCCTTGGTCCCTGGCCCCAGTCGGGGTGGGTATGGGAGGCAACTAATCGATGTGTCCCTCTCACATCAATGTTTCTCTCTCTGTGTCTCTCCCCCTCCTTTCCACTCTTTCTCTAAAAATCAATAGAAAAAAATATCCTCAGATGAGGATTAACAACAACAAAAAATGCTTATGAATATTCAGCCAAGACTTACCAATCCTAGGTTTGGGTAAAAAAAATGAAATACATATATAAATGTTATTGAGTGGAATTGGTGGCATAGTTAATCACTAGCACTGGCCAGGTGAACACATTTAAGTTTTTTCTTTGTCTTGTATAACAGAATAGCCCTAATCTAGGATATTAACCTGTATATTTTCATTCCTTCACTGGTAAGATGAGAATAAATTTATTCTTTTCTTCCTCATTGGTAGTAATGTAAAATTACACAAAGCTGCAATTGGAGTCATTGTTTATGAGAGAAAAAGCTAACAGTAGTACTGTGGGCATATAATTACATTCTAGCACTGGTGTGCAGATCACGAATTATTCTATTCCATCCATTTGCCACAGTACTACCATTCCTTTATTTAACAACTAGAGGTCTGCTGCACGAAATTTGTGCCGGGTACGGTCCCTAGGCCTGGCCTGCGATCAGGGCCATCTTCCCCGGCTGCCCACAGCCGGCCCCGCCCCCCACCGCCACCCACCCCCTGTTCCCGTTTTGCCATCGGGTGTTCAGTGCCTGATGGTTGGAGGAAGGGACTCGACGGCCCCACCCCTGTCACGGGTTGCCCTCTGTGTGTGGGGCGACTGGCGGGGGGGGGGCGGGGGGGGACGGGCGGTGGTGGTGGCCTTGGCATGGCGCCGCCCACATCCCCCGCCACCCACCCCCAATTCCCTGTTCTCCATCAGGCAATTGGAGCTTGCCAGCCGAGGAAGAAACTGAGAGGTGGTCAGTGCACCTCAAAGTGACTGGTCCAGCGCTCATTCTGGTCATCCGCCTTTAGGGTCAATTTGTATATTACCATTTTATTGTATAGGATAGAGGCCTGGTACACGGGTAGGGGTCAGCTGGCCTGCTCTGATGGGGGCCCAGTGTACGGGTGGGGGGTCCTCAGTGACCCGTGAGGCCTGGCGGCTGTGAGGCCCGGGGCTCAGGCAGCCGTGAGCCCCAGCGGATGCGAAGCACGGGGCTCAGTGAGCTGTGAGCCCGGCGGCTGCACGG